ATTTGAGGTTTGTTTAAAATACAAATTACCTCATGTGGTTTGAAAAATTACAATGTAACGCCCCAACCCTTCACATATCATCGATATTGTCCGCTTTGGGCCACGCCCGCACGGATTTGTTCTTCCCAGTGGGTCACCCATCCCAGAATTACTCCAGCCTAAGCACGCTTAACTAGGGAGTTCTAATAGGGATCTCACCACCCGGGAAAAGGCCTCGATGCTATATAAGGGTCCAGGTTTTTACTTTTATAGCCCAGGAACTCCCCCTCCATTCCAGATATGGGAACCGGGGCCTTACAATCCACCCCCCATAAGGCTGCACGTCCCCGTGCAGTAGCCTGCCAGCTCACAAGCCCGCCCACATACACCGAGAGACGTCAGGAGCCCACACTCGGTATTTCGAAGAGTCGGCTCTGATACCATTTGTAACGCCCCAACCCTTCACATATCATCGATATTGTTCGCTTTGGGCCATGCCCACACGGATTTGTTTTTCCTAGTGGGTCACCCATCCCAGAATTACTCCAGCCTAAGCACGCTTAACTGGGGAGTTCTAATAGAGATCTCACCACCTGGGAAAAGGCCTCGATGTTATATAAGGGTCCAGGTTTTTACTTTTATAGCCCAGAAACTCCCCCTCCATTCCCGATATGGGAACCGGGGCCTTACATACAAATACCTTTTTGTCAGAATTTTTTATTTAACAGAATTAATTGAAAAGGTAAAATTCCTAACTGTTCACCTATACAATAATAAAATTATCTGAATTATTAATTAAAATAAAATTTTAACATTATTAAAAACTGTTAATTAACTTGATGATTTATTAATAAAATGACCTATTTATTATGAAATTAAAAATCTTAGGAGCATAATGTAATTTTTACAACCACAAGAAGTAATTTATAATTTAAGTAAACCTTAAAAGGTGTGTTTGTAATTCTTAAATTAGGCCATCGTGTGAGGGGTCGGCATGGCCAGAGCAGCTCTGTTTCAGTCTCTTTTGTTTGAAGCGTGTGGAAGGACTGTGAATCCAGTGAACGAAGCTGTCAGACTGTTATGGATGGAGAACTGGCATGTGTGCCAGGCAGCGGTGAGAAGGTGCTCCGAAGCAGAGCATTGCGGCTGATTTTCCACAGATAAGAGAGAATTAAAGAGAGAGAGAGAGAGAGAGAGAAGACTTGCAGATCGTTTTCGTAACCCATTGGTGATTGTTGCTAGTTTGTAATAGGGGCAGTAAGAGGGAGAAACTATAATCTATATCTATGCAGTGAGAGAAAGAGAAGGAAAATGAGGAAATGTGGTGGAGTAGTAGCAGAGTGGCAACGCCGGTAGTGGGTTGGTGGAGGTGATGAGGAGAACTATGGTTAGGCTTTTTTGAGGTTTTGGGTATAAAGAGAAGAAGAAGGAGAAATGTTACAGATGAGGGTAATAAATGAATTGTATAAATTAAAAAATATAAAATAAAATAAAATAAAATTTGAGGGTATAAGGAGTTAGATTGGTGGTGTAAGTGGAATCACTCTTCTAGAAAATGCGGGGAGCAATTTTCAAACGAAAATACCCTTATTTATTCAATTTTAGCACTAAATGATGCACATTGTTTCAATATTCAACGCCTTTCACTTTTTGAAAAATTTTAAAACTTAAAAATTCTATAACTTTTGATTTAGATATCCATTTTTAATAAAATTTATATTTTTAAAATGTTCTCGTTGAGATCTATCAAATAAAATTAATGATGAATATAAAATTCTAAAAACAAATTTGACAAAATTTTATTCAGTCGACTATCTACCATCAATGAATTTTTTTTTGACTTTTGGTTAGAGAAATTTCACTGAAGGATGGAGAGAGAGGAAGAAAGAGACATTGAGACGTTGTGAAGAGAGCGAAGAAAGAAAGAAAGATATGAGGCACTCAAGCTCAAAATAAAACCAAACCCTTTGGCCCTAGGTAAATTTTTTTGAAATTTCATAAATTTCTGTAAGTGAAAATTGAGAAATTTTTCTAAGTAATTCTAAGATTTCTCTCACAAAATTTAAAATTCAAATTTTTCTCTGAGCAATTCTGAAATTTCTCTAGTGGTGTGTTTGGTTGGGGGATTTAGGAAGGGAATTGGAAAGGGAAAAAGAAAAAATAGGTGAAATGTAAATAAAATATATAAAATGTACCTATATTTCACTTAGTATCATACACCTTTTCCTTTTCCCTTTCCAAATCTCCCAACCAAACACAAAATAAGTGAACAGACTACGTCAATCCTTCTTTGTTCACACCCTCTTTGAAGAGATATCTTTGATAGTGTAGTAGGAATTCAGAGATGCCAATCGGGGAAGATCTTCAGTAAATGAAGGATCATTAGATTGAGATTTTCCTCTGACAAGATTGAATGGACTGATGTAATATTTTGACCCATTTGAAGACAGATGTTTAGAGATTTGGGGCGTTTGGGATCACTAAATTGAGAACGTTTCGAAACATAAGGCTTCATAATTCTCAGAAGATCGATTGGTCCAAGTGATGTAGAAAAGGTAAATGACGTCATTGAGGGTTAAGAGCTTGGTTTGGGTGTCGTCGAAGTTGGAGATATCGCACTAGATGTATGCGATGGGGGTGGTTGGTATTCCACGGCGAACGAGGGTGATGAGAGACATCGTAGACTTTCCAAGGGCCACTGAGGGTGTTAGAGAGAGGAAGAATCTCAGCGAAGCTGCTACCGATGATGCCTGTGACGCCGGTCATTAGGGTTATGCACTCGTACTTCAGAGGTGCATCGTTGTCTTCGAATTTCTTCAAGGGAGAGAAAAAAGAAAAAGAAAAGAGAAAGTACATCCGAAAGAGAAGAAGGGAGGGACCAAATACGTATAATTAAAATGTAAAGTTGTTATTTTTTTTGAGAAGAGAGTTGGCCTAAAATAAGAGTAATTCTATTTCCACACACCAATTCTTCTCAGTTCACACATTTAATGAAAATTTTCATTAATACAATTTTATCTTAGAATAAGAATACCATAATACCCTCTTCTTCTTCTATCCAAACCCTAATTCTAAAACACTACAATCATCCTCTATCGCCAGTGTCATCACTTTCATCCGCTGTCCTCTCCCATCACTTATTTCCCTCTCCTCCTGCGATTATTTTCCGTCATGAACCATACACTCACAAATCTACCACCGCAAATCATTCAAGGTTGATTGGTGGCAACAACAGTAAAGGAGAAGTAGAAGAATGGACAAAAAAAAAAAAAAAGAAGCTCTGTTTAGTTCAATTTTAGAATATGTTTTAAAAAAAATAAATAAAACTTCTTATTTTAATATGATTTTATCTTTTTAGGGGCAAAAAAAAAATTAAAAATATTTTTTGGTATTTATTTTTATCAAATTAATTTATTTTTTTCTCAGAAAAATTTCAAAAAAAAAATGATTCAAAAATCGAAAGCAAACATAGCCTTAAGGTTTTAAAAATGAAAATGAAGGTAATATTAGAATATAGAGATGTGTACTGAGAATTTATATTTTTTTAATATTTGTGTTGAGAATGTGTTCATTAAGTGTGTGTACTAAGAGTAATTAAGGTGTGGAAATAAAATTACCCCTAAAATAGTTCACTAAAAAACAAAATATGTTAAAATAGTGAATAAGAAAAAATATCACATCTAATCCATAATTATTTCATTTTTTCTCTCACAACTATCAAATCAACTATTAAAAAAATCAACTATCTTTCCAAACATAATTATTTAGGCTAAAATAATTAAAAAATCAAATAGCGAACAAAAATAGATACTTCCCAAACAAGACTCCAATATAATTAAAACGGTGAGGTGCATTAACTTAAATAAAATAAAAATAAATAAATCAATAATTAATTAATTAAAAAAAAACCTTGGACCTTTACAACTTTTACTACTAAGGCTATGTTTGGCATGAAGGTTTAGGTTTGGGTTGGGTTGAGGCTATTTTAGTTACAACAAGACAAAATAAAATTTTTAACCCAATAAGATAAAATGTCACATCTAAACTATAATCATTTCATTTTTTTTCTCACAAAAATCATAAAAACCAAAAAACCTATTCGAAATGAAGTTTTTTAGTCCCAGGTTAAAAAAATAAAAAAAAGGTTAAAAAGTTAACCCACATTTCAAATGAAGGCTATTTAAAATATTTGAGGGTCATCTCCCTAATTTTGATTCTGCCTTCCACTAAGGTGTTATTCCTTTTTTTAAAAAAATTAAAATAAATATAATTGGATTGATTTTAAACTCATTTAATCTTTAAGTTGTGCAGAATGATGAGTTCGAGATCAGTTGGAGGGTGCTTCTATTTACACACCATATTTAGTCTCAAGGCACACCATTAATTGATTATTTTTTATTACAATAATGATCTTACATAAAATGATCAAAATAACCACAAAAGAATATCAATACACCCCCCACACACCACTACTCTTCGCTTCCTCATTTTACCTTCAGCCACCATCACCGAAACCCAGCCACCATCGCGACCCTCACAACCTCCCTACCTCGCCGGCGACCCCTTTCCCCTTTACAAACCCTTCTCCCTCCCCCCATCAACGAACAACCTAGTCTCCCATTTCGGCCATGGCTCATTTTTCTCCATCGCAAAGAGAGAGAGAGAGAGAGAGAGAGAGAGAGAGAGAATTCTAGGGTTTTCAAATCTAGATCTAGGGCTTGTAGGAATTCGATCGTGCAAACCAGATTCAAAGCTTCGATCTAGGATTTCAAGCTCTGATTCGAAACTTTGCCGCTGCAGTTGTCTTCGGTGAGAAGCTCCTCTCCGATGGGTTAGGGAAGATCTCTGTAGAGGGAGGGTTGCGGTGGTGAAGGTAGGTTTGGTAGTTTTTAGAGAGAGAAGAAGAAGTAGGATATGAGATATGATGGGATGATAGGTTGTGGTAGCGATGGTGGGGAGATGGTGGAGTCGGTGGTGGAGGGTTTGAAAGTGTGGTTGGATATGGTAAGGCATGGAGAGTGATGGATGGAGGAGTGAGGAAGAGATTCGTCGGAGAAGAAGGAGGGAGAGGCGATGGCCTGCGGCGAGTGACGGCGACTAAGGTTAGGGTTAGGGTTGGTGGAGTGGTTAAAGAAGATGAGGGTATTTTAGGTATATTTGAAAATGGATGGTAAGTATTGAGCAAAAATAATAAAGTTAAAATTGTGTTTGGTGTGCATTAAGTAAGTGATGTGCCTTGAGACCAAATGTGGTGTGTAAATAGAGACACCCTCAGTTGGACACATTCATTTTAAAACATTATTAATTTAAATTTTGATAGAGAATATATATATATATATATATATATATATATTTTTTTTTGTTTTATAGTAACTTAAATTTACCCTATCTAAAGAAATAAAAAAATAAACGCTTAAATTTAAACATTTTAAAGGAAAATTATTTAGAGTGTGTAACATATATACCTTTGGTTTAATATGTTTGTGGTCTTTGATTTGATTTATTATAGTGTTACCTTATGTGGTGTTTGGTTATAATTTTTTTTTTTCATAACATTAGCCTTATTATATAGATTCAACTATATTTTGATTCAAATAAGCAAACCTAAATTGATATAAAATGAAAATTTTAGTGAAATCGAAATTATCAAAACTAAAACATGCCTTGTGTATTTTCTTGTTGTGGGGATATATTTTCTGAGTACCAACACGTGGCAAGGTGACGCTGACGTGTCAGCCGAGGTGCCACGTGTCTTGGTCGTTGTGCCGAGGTCATCTCGGCTAGGTCGAGGTTGCCTCCGAAGATATCGAAATCCGAGATAAGCGGATAAGGGACAAGAGTCCTAGAATGAAGAGGGAACTCAACTTGGATATGGACAAGAGTCCTAAATTGGGAGAAGACTTTAGTTTGGGTAAAGATAAGACTCCTAGAGAGTTTATCCTAATCCCACTGGAAGTCCAAGATTAGCAGTAATCCTAAGACCATTAGGGCCAGGCTCCTTTTGGGACTAGGATTGTATTGGCTATAAAAGAGAGGCACCCCCATGGGTCTAAGGTATGCTTTTGATATTCAAGCTTGTGAGTTTAGTACTTGATTTATCTTTGAGAGATTTACTGACTTGATTGTCGGAGTGCCCCCGGGTGGTCGAAACCATCGCGGGATTCTTATATTTCTGTTGCAGGTCAGTCAGGTGCCATCTATTCTGCCAGTGCTCTCCAGTTGGTTACTAAGCGAGCAGTGTGGTCGGAAAATCACCCACACAATTTGGCGCCGTCTGTGGGAACGAAAGGAGAATATGTGGTCACCACCGTACATCTGGAAGGGTCTTCATTCCGATTATGTCGACATATTCTCTATCCTTTCTAAACTAGTCGTTTCCGACACGTTGAGCTCAACCTGAATGAGCAGATCCAAGATTCCAGAAGACATGATCTCGGCCTAGATGAGTAGGCCCGAGAAAAAAAGAGCTCAACCTGAATGAGCAGATCCAAGATTCCAGAAGACAAGAGCTCGGCACTTAAACCCGAGAAGAGAAGAGCTTAGTGAGCAAATCTCAGATCCCAGAAGATAAAAAAGAAACACACAAGATCGGACTGAAGTTAGCCAAGATGAAGACTTGTTGTAAAAACTACAAAGGAGTATGTGGAAGCTATGCACGGGGCAGATCCCTTGCCTACAGAACCATATCAAAGGGATTCTGGTGACCCTACGGACAAAAGGATGCAAAGGCTTATAAAAAACATGAGAAAAGAAACGGTTTGCCAAAGCGAGACCGAGGTAACAATGGATCCAGCAAGCAAGAGGCAGAGAGAAGAAAAATATGCTTAACACTTGTTGAAATTTGTAGCAATTTACAAGTCGAAGTTAAGCCGATTCCTTATCTTCACTTGTTGAAATTTGTAGCAATTTACAAGTTGGAGTTAAGTTAATTCCTTATCTTCACTTGTTGAAATTTGTAGCAATTTACAAGTCGAAGTTAAGCCGAGATGATTCCTTATCTTCACTTGTTGAAATTTGTAGCAATTTACAAGTTGGAGTTAAGCTGATTCCTTATCTTTACTTGTTAAAATTTGTAGCAATTTACAAGTCGAAGTTAAGCCGAGATTATTCCTTATCTTCACTTGTTGAAATTCGTAGCAATTTACAAGTCGAAGTTATGCCGAAATGATTCCTTATCTTCACTTGTTGAAATTTGTAGCAATTTACAAGTTGGAGTTAAGTTGATTCCTTATCTTCACTTGTTGAAATTTGTTGCAATTTACAAGTCGAAGTTAAGCCGAGACTGTTTCTCTTCGCTTGTTGAAATTTGTAGCAATTTACAAAAGAAAGAGGCATACAAGAGAGGTTAACTTAAGAAAAGTTTACGTTGAAGTAAAAGCTAAGTATATTGTTTAAACACTTGTTGAAATTTGTAGTAATTTATAAGTTGAAGATAAGCTGAGATAATTGTTTATTTTCACTTGTTGGAATTTGTAGCAATTTACAAGATGACGTTAAGCCGACATATGATCATCCGTTGAAATTTGCAGCAATTTACAAGTTGAAGTAAAGCTAAGTATATTGTTTAAACACTTGTTGAAATTTGTAGCAATTTACAAGTAGATCATTATTTAACACTTGTTATAACTTAAGGAAAGTTTATAGGTTGAAATTAAACCAGTATGTGTTTTATATCTGTTGGAATTTATGCAAAGTTTACAGGACAAGTTATTGCCGAGGTAAATCATCAGTTTGTATACCCGAGGTATGTCACCCCAAGATGGTTGCACAAAGAAGGAAGAGCATACTAAAGACACGCAAAATATTTTAAGTATAGAATCGTGCAAAGGCAGTCAAGAAAAGACAAAGGCACAAGCATTCAGAGAAGGAAAGTTGCATTAGACATTCAAGAACAATGAGGCACATCGGCCATATGCAGAGCTTACATTGTCTAAAAAAACAAAAAGGTACAAGAGTACAAGTGACAAAAAAGGAAAAACTTCAAAAACTGAGGTGATGCTTAACCGAAGTTAAGCCGAGATGATGTTTAACCGAAGATAAACTGAAGTAATGCTTAACCGAAGTTAAGCCGAGATGATGTTTAACCGAAGTTAAACTGAGATGATGTTTAACCGAAGTTAAGCCGAGATTATGTTTAACCAAAAGTTAAACGGAGATGATGCTTAAACCGAAGTTAAGCCGAGATGATGTTTAAATCGAAGTTAAAACGAAATGATGTTTAACACTTGTTGAAATTCTAAGAGTGCACAAAGTTAAATGTCGGCAAAAGATTCGCCGGAGTCAAACGTCGTTTTGATTAGAACAGAACCACTAAGTGCACGCCAGAAGTGGTGACCAGAATTGTGAAGGGAATAAATGTTTCAAGAAACAGCGATGATAGTTTGCAAAGGCCAAGAGAAAGAGGGTCTAAAGGGGGTGCATTAAATACCAGAAGTTTTAATATATTGGTGAAAGCAGAATACATCAGGTCTGTGACTACGGCACGAAGCCAACTTCCCTAATGTGATCCTAAGTACAACTTATATTCACATTAGGGGGCAGGGAGAAGGTGCAAGGGGAAGGAATGATAATTAAGGAGCAAGGAATGTTAACACTTGTTGAAATTTTGGAGCAAATTACAAGATGAGTTAACCGAAGATTATGAAGTCTACCACTTGTTGAAATTTGTAGCAATTTACAAGTTTGGTATAGCCGAGATAACACTGAAAGACGTTTCCGAGATATGATCATCCGAGATGACCAGAAGGTTGGCAAGTACAAAAATGAAGACCTTAAAGAACTAGGGACTGAAAGCAATAACGTCGGACTGATCTGCTTCGACGGACGACGATGGTTTAGCCTCGGCAGTCAGTTGGAGGAGCTTCTCTACCGTTACCTCGGCATCAATTTCAAGAAAGAAGCAAACTACTCGGCATCAGCGGCAGGTTGTGTCTCACCCCCAGAAGACAGTTGGAAAGAACTTCTCAGCAGCCTTCTCAGCCACGAGCTCAGCATCAATCTCCTGAAGAGTTTGATCAAAACTTTTCTCGGCGATTGGCACCTCGGCGTTTTGAAAGCAAGGATTGAAAGCAAAACTCTGCGAAAAGACACAGAAAACAGAAACAAGAATGTAATTCGTAAATCAAAAATGGTGATGAAGCTATCAGGAAATCAAGACAAAAAGATTGTACAGGTGTGCCAAGCTAAGAACAGTGGCAGAAATCAACAGATATGTGAACAGTGTATATTCAAGAAGATGATTTGGAAACAACGGGTAAAACAACAATGGTGGTTAACAATGAAGCAGAGCTTCTTGGAAAGCAACAAGAAATAAAACCAGGAGGAACAGTGGCTTACCAGAAAGAGGAAAGCCGGAATGAGAATTGCCGAAGTCAGACGACAATGACAGAATGATGTAAAGCTTCACCGGAGGAGAGAAACGAAGACAGTTGCAGAAGCTTGAAAGCTTGGAACAAATGACGGATTTAAGCAAAAGAGCTAGAAAGAGAAGAAGCTAGAGGATTGAATGAAAAAAGAGAAAAATAGTCAAGAAGACAACAAAGTTCAAGAATAAAGCCAAGTGCACAGGCACTAAGTAAGTATGTGAAGAACAAGAAAGTAATAACCCAGACATGATGCTAGCAACAGAAAACGGATATGACAAGAACAGTGCCAGGCATTCAAACAATTCAAGACTTGAAAACAGACGAAAACAGAAGGCAACAGATGGCAAATAAATAGATTCAAAGTAGATCAGAAGAGTTATGAAAGATTAAGCTTAAATAGCAAGTAAAAGAGTTTATAAACCTACCAAGTGAAATGAACGCCGATATGAAAATCGCCGGAGTCAAATAGCTGACTGGAAATCGGGAACTCATTAGAGAGTGTGAGTGGAGCAGTTGCAAAGCTCTTGGAGTTTACGAATTAATGGAACCAGAACCTCGGCTAGGAGGTGCGATTTCAAGCAACTTGGAAAGCAAGAAACTTGATTCTTGACACCAATGGACAGTAAAGTCCAGGGAACTTTGAGGTCGGCGAGTTTGATCTCGGACAGAGGGGCACAGATGAATGAACAGTGTAGGTTCTATCACCTTAGAATGCCGAGGTAATAGAACCTAGGGGGCAGTTGTGGAGATATATTTTCTGAGTACCAACACGTGGCAAGGTGACACCGACGTGTCAGCCGAGGTGCCACGTGTCTTGGTCGATGTGCCGAGGTCATCTCGGCTAGGCCGAGGTTGCCTCCGAAGATATCGGAATCCGAGATAAGCGGATAAGAGACAAGAGTCCTAGAATGAAGAGGGAACTCAACTTGGATATGGACAAGAGTCCTAAATTGAGAGAAGACTTCAGTTTGGGTAAAGATAAAACTCTTAGAGAGTTTATCCTGATCCCACTGGGAGTTCCAGATTAGCAGTAATCCTAAGTCCATTAGGGCCAGGCTCCTATTGGGACTAGGATTGTGTTGGCTATAAAAGAGAGGCACCCCCATGGGTCTAAGGTATGCTTTTGATACTCAAGCTTGTGAGTTTAGTACTTGATTTATCTTTGAGAGATATACTGACTTGATCGTCGGAGTGCCCCCGGGTGGTCGAAACCACCGCGGGATTCTTATATTTCTATTGCAGGTCAGTCAGGTGCCATCTATTATGCCAGTGCTCTCTAGCTGGTTACTAAGCGGGCAGTGTGGTCAGAAAATCACCCACACACTTGTGTAGACGATGTTTATTCACCGCCATTCCTCATCGTCGGAGGAGGTACCACCACCTTCACAATCCCTCAGATCAACCACAATGACTCTTCTCCGCCGTCGTCATCTTCGTCTCCAACTTCTTCACTAATTATAGTAATCATCATCATCGCCTCCTCTGTCATCGTCACTGCCTCTCTCTACCTCCTCTTCCGTTTCATCACTCAGCGCTGCAACAACCGCTCCTTCGCTGCAGTACATGACGTCGTCTCCTCCAGAAACAACCGCGACGATTCAAATCGCGATCGGTGTTTATACGAGCAGCGGAACTCCTCCAACGATTTGATCAACTCTCTTCCTCTCTTCACTTTCGATTTTGTGACCGGAAACATCGTTAGCGGTTACTACGCTGTGTGTTTATCGAAGTTCGAGAGGAATGATCAACTACGGTTCCTCCCTTTGTGTTGTTATGCTTTCCATACTGATTGCATTGACGCATGGCTTTCGTCCAATCAAACGTGTCCGTTGTGTAGGTCCGCTGTGTATCCTACTAAGGAAGATGTACGGAATCAAATCATTTCGTCCACGGCTCCAGAAGATCACAGGAACAGTTTCGGAATTGAGATCGGAAGTGTGAGTCGACGACGAGGTAGGTCCGATTCCAGCGATGGTCGAAGATCATACTCAATCGGCTCGTTCGACTATATTGTCGACGAAGGCTACGAAGTCTCCGTAGATTCCACACATCGGCGAGGACTCTCTGATTGTACTTCCGTTAGCTTGGACTCGGCCGGAGTAGCGGTGGTGGTGAACACGCCGCCAGGAGAGAATTTAGCTTCTGAAGTCGTTGGACGAAGATGGCTGAGAGACTACGTGGATGGACTTACGTCGATTTTGGTCTCGCACATTATCATTTCGCAGCTCCGGCAGGTTTTTCACCGGTAGTAGTCGCCGGAGCAACACGGTAGTCGTCATAGACGATGAATTGGAGGCTAATCGTATTGGAGAAGAGATAAGTGAGTTATTTCGGTGGTTCTCAGGGATATGATTGGTAAGTTTAATTTGCTTTTTTACGTAATTCAGATTTTCAAAATTTGATTCTGGTAAAGTTATTTGTATCTTTGGGTTCAATGCTATGAACGAAGAGGCAACCATTTTTGTCACGACCCGAACCCGCCCCCGTGGGTTAAGGACGTAACCGGCCAGTAATCATGAGATTACCTACGGCCTCAAACTGTTCTAAACGTATTCTTCTGGATTCTCTGTTCGCTGGGTTCCATAGAGCTACAGAATCCCAATTGGTTAAGAGGCAAAAAATCCCGTTACAAGGACCCATAACACGCACTTTTGCATTCAACTTTAGACCAAGATATTCAAATACTGGAACTGTGAGGGATTTGTCACGACACACAGCAAAGGTATATTTTCTAGGAAAGTTATTTGCATCTTTGGGTTCAATGCTATGAACGAAGAGGCAACCATTTTCCTTCTTGTTACTGTTAGTGAGATGCTTGGCTATGAAACTGGGATTTGTAATGAGAGAGGACCAAGATTTGGAGACGCACTTAAATGGCAACAAAGATTTGACTGATAATTTTACAAGAATCTCAACCATCACATCTTCATGCATGTAATGACTCACCATTTCTTTTGTTTTTTCTTTTTTTCAACAAAGATGTTTGGCAAAGTCGGATCCGTCAATCAAAGCCAACGAAATTGCGCATCCATTTCTTCAAAATGTAAATGAAAGTGCTTGGTTACAAGAATAATCTAGAATGAGCGCAAAAATGATTTTCTTTTTTTTCTTTTTAATTTTATAATACGCTAGCCATTACAAGTTCACAACCAATAGCAATAAAAATAATAGAAAACGTGAATCTAGAAAAGCCCAATCAATCTAATATGAATAAAGATAAGCACACACCACGTTTACACCCATTTTAGACACTCATATCATTGGGAGAGGGGATTAAAACAAGGAGAAATTATTTCTTCTCAGTGTATGAGTAAAAAGGTATTTTCAAGTTAATGACATTCTTTATAAATATTAATATGTAAAATCACAATATTTTTCATGATTTTGTAATTAAGTTTTGAAGACAACACTAATAGATAATTTTCCCTTAAAACAAGGTACTAAATTATGTAAGCATTAAATTTTAAAGATATTTTTTAATCATAAAAGGAATGAATACATATAAATAATTTTTTCCACTTTTATTTTCCTTCTTAAATTCAAAATTTAAAATTTTAATTAGTGTGTTTAGTTTTAATTTTTGGAATTCAATTTCCTGAAAATTGAGTTTTTTGTTGTTGTTGTTGTTGTTGTTGTTTTTAGTAAGTAATTTTTTTTATATTTTTAGATGCACCTTATTTAGATGTATCTAAAAATTAAAATATTTGTAAAAAAATATTTTAAAAACTAATAAATACACAAAAATATGAAAAATATATTGAATTTTTATGTATTTTTTTTTGTGTTTTTGGTATTTAGTGAATTTTTAAAGATTTTTTTACAAATATTATACTTTTTAAACGTATTTAAATTAGGTGTATCTATAAATTAAAAAAATTATTTAAAATATTAAAAAAATTCAATAAAAACAAAAAAATATGAAAACTAAAAAATTTAATTTCTTAAAAAGGAAATCTTGAAAATCATAACCAAACAGAGTGAATGTGTTTCAGTCGAATGTTTCCGTTTCTACAAAAAATTAAATAAAAGAAGTTTCATACAAAAATAATTGAACTTTAAAAAAAAAAACATAAAATAATAAATCTTATAATTTTTTTTTAAAAAGTATTTTTCTTGAATTATACAAGTAAATAAATTATCACAATTTACAAGCAAAACTTGCATAGACAGAGAGAGAGAGAGAGAGAGAAATGGCTTACCGTTGACTTGAACCATGGGTAAAGAGCTTCTCGGTTTATGTAGCTAGGAAAACTCCAGAACGTTGATTGACTACTTGTTTTTTTTTCAAATATATAGCACTGGCATACAACTTGGCTATTCAAATTTGCAATAGACCCAAACATTTATTGCATGCTCCTATATCATGTGCAAATAGATGATAGGTCATAATTTTAAATTTTTTATAATTTGTATAATGGGTGATATTATAATTTTAAAATGATAATATCAGCTATTATATGTTTTTTTGATCAGCAAAAAAAGAGGAAACTTTATTGATGGAAAAACATACAAAGTATGATAACATACATCAACAAAGAGGAGAGTGCAAAAAGCATCATAGTGAAACATTCAGATCCCAACTAGGTTGGCACTTAGATGCACACCAAATCATTTGCTAGCACAAACTCCAAGCTCCAAGTTGGTGAGTAACCAACATGTAGAGCAAAAACGAAAACAAAACAAACATATCATACATCCAAAAACAAAAATTCACAACAGCCCAGCCTAACATAACACACCCCTTAAAGACCATTCATGCACAAAACCCCTCAGCTATTATATTGATACACTAATTAATATATTATTGGGTGCATGTAGTATTCCCGTTATTTAATTCCTAAACAATATGAAAAATTAATACCAAAGCATATTCAACGTGGAATTTTTGAAAAATTGTTAGACATTTTAAGAATATTATGCAACATTTATTTCATATTATTTTTAGCTAATGAGAAACAACATTTTTTTTTTTAGATTGGGAATGAGAAACAACATTATTACGTATAAATCTATTGAATAATTATTCTATCAAAATATCACATTTAATTCACAACCATTTGAAGTCAATATACCAATTCTATTTTAATTTCTCAAGATTATGTATAAGATTGTAGATAAAACTGAAAGTTTAGGATCTTTAGAGACATTTTTCCATAATCTATATTGGGTTTGTTTGGGAAGAAAAAACCTGGGATTTTTTTTGGTTATTGATAATACTACTGGTCTCTGATGGACGGGTTGGGCTGATCCAGGCCTCCCACACGGTTGTCCGACCGCTGGGCCCACTAAGAAACTTGCACAAGAGTTCAACGGGGAACGGGATTCCCCCGGCGAACTCTCCGACGAGCAAGTTAGAGAAGGGAGATCAACATAATATAGAGATAGGATGATAGTAAAGAGCTTAACCTTCTCCTTGTCTTCGAAACCTGCTTATATCTTTTGCTCATCATTTCTTTGTCCACTCCGACCTGTCATGTTTGCCAAAAGTCTACGTTCTAGCTTGCCTTGTTCATGGTGAGGTTGTTTTGTTCCGATGTGAAGGGGTTTTCGTAATAAATGCTGTAGGGAACCTCATTAATGGCTAATGTGTGGTGCAATAACTCTGCATGATCTTTGTCTGCTTATGTGGCTGGTTCATCTCTTTGACAAGTGTTTAGATATCATTGGTCCTTGGTGCAACGTTGGGCTCCAGCAATGTTGGGCTTTGGTGTTTGAATTATGTATTGGGCTCTAAGTGGTGGGCCAAAAGCCCCTGTGGGCCCACCTATGTCAATTATTTTAGCTACAAAAAAACAAAATAGACTTTTTAACCTAACAAGACAAAATATCACATCCAACCACTCCAACAAAAACTTCATCTAGTGGCACTATGCTAGTGTTATTTTTAATAAAAATAACACAAAATTCATTCTAATGACATTTCATAAAAAAATGTCACTCAACCATAAATAAATCAAAATTCTTTTATGTTATATTTTAAAAGGATGCCACTAAATACAAGCAGTAATGTCATTTACTAAAAGATGCAATTTAAATACAAAAGGAAAATATGTAGTGGCATCAATCTAGGGGTGATTATTCAGTACTTTCGGAGTATGAACACGTGGTGCTCCATAAGGTTTTGATTGGTGGAGAGACACAAGAGTCCACGATTTATGTTGGAGATGGGGAGATAGCATGAGACTAACTAATTGGTGATTGGTTTAGAGTATGGACACGTGGTGCTCCGGAAGTATTGAATAATTTCCCTTAATCTAGTTGCACTTTTTGACAAAAAGTGCATAAAAGCGTCATTAATGGCATAAATGTCATTGAATCAATTCGTTAAAAATGATAGGAGAAAATTTTACCCAAACCTCTCTCTATCTCTCTCTCTCTGACATATCTTTGCAATTTTTGTGTTTGTCTTTCTTCAATCTCGTCCATTCTGTGCTTTGTCAATCTTTGTTAGGGTTTATAGTTTTTCAACTCGCAATTCTTGCTCTAGATGGATAATGATTTGTTTGTTTGAAGAAAATATTCTCAGAAACCAATTAACAAAAGACTCCTATCAAGAATGGAGTCCTAGGGTTAATATTGATTGTGTATGCTGAGCCTAAGAACCAACCATTGATTGATTAACAAGCTCTAATTCCTTGTCAATCCAAGGTTGAGGGTTAGAAAACTCAACTGTTTACATTTTATACTTATCTTATTCTCCATTCACACACAGACATAAGCACAGATTGTTGCTTTCTTCAGATTAATTTTTCTTTAACACTCTTGGTGTGTTTGGTAACGTTTACGTTTTCAGTTTATATTTACAAAAATTTTATAAACTGGTTTTTGTTTATTTTTTGTTTATTTTTAGAAAAACATAAACTACAAACGTGTTTGGTAATTGACAAAATGTTTAAAAAATTTAAAAAATATAAAAAAGAGTGAGAAATGGCAAGTGGCGGTGGAAGACGGTGGTGGAAAGTGGTGACGGTGGGTGGTGGGTAGCTAGTGGTGGTGGGTGGGTGGGTGACGGTGGCGGGTGGTGGGTGGTAATGAGTGGGAGGTGTGGGTGGTGGTGGCGGATGGCGAGTGGTGGTGGGTGGTGGATGGTGAGTGGCCGATGGCGGGTGGTGGTGGGTGGCGGGTAGGTGGCGGGTGGTGGTGGTGGGTGTGTGGGTGACGGTGGCGGATGGTGGGTGGTAGCGAGGGGGGGGTGGTGGTGGTGGGGGTGATGGTCTTTGGGGGGGGGGGGGGGGTGTTGGCAGGTTGG